AATATTTTAAATAGAATGTTATCAGATTATTTCATATAAAATGTTCAGAAAGATTTGAAGCAAAACATTTCCAAAATATTTAAAAAATATTGCAAATGTAGTATATCAAATAGAATATTTCCAGAATATTTCTTTTGAGACATTTTGAAATATTTCAAATAGAATGTCGCCAGACTATTTCATATGAAATGTTCACAAAGATTTGAAGCAAAACGTCTTCAGAATGTTAAAAGAATATTGCTAATGTAATATTTCAAATAGAATATCTTCAGAATATTTTCTTTGCGACATTCTGAAATATTTCAAATAAAATGTCGTCAGGCTACTTTATATGAAACTTTCAGAAAAATATGAAGCGGAACGTTTCCAGAATATTAAGAAAATATTGCAAATGTAATATTTCAAATAGATTGTTTCTAGAATATTTCAAATGAAATCCTATGAATATCCTATATATAATATTTTTAGAAGTTTACAGAAATATTTCAAATGAAATATTTTATGAAAGATATTTGAAATATTCTGATAATATTCCGTGCTGTGTGGGAAATTAAAAAAAAAAAGATTGCTATTGCTTTGATAACCAAAATTGTAGAAAATGAAGAAACCAAAAATTAATTAAACATCGAAATGAATCAATTTGTACTCGAAAATGAATTTTTCGGAGATATTTTCAATTACAGGATATACTTAACTGTTAGTTTAAAAAATTAACATACATTGTATTATACATAGAAAGGTACAAACAATAAATATATGATTAAGTTTCTTTAAAAATTAAATAAAATATGAACTAAATAAAATAGATTAAAATAGATTAAACTAGATCACATATTCCTGCCATTCAATATGACGGTATTAAAATACTCCTTAAAAATATTACGAATAGAGATAGTGTTTTTGCTAGGTCTTGCATTTATTATTTCTAAATTATGTAATTGAGCATTTTCCATCCATAGAAGCAATACAGTTTGGGACATTCCATGTCTGAAAATAATTATCTGTTATCTTCTCCCACTTCACAGTTGTACTTGGTGTAAACATTAATAAAAATATAAATATTAAATTACAAAAGTTTTACTTAAATATTATTAATAATCTATGTAATATATTTTAATAATTTTTATATATTTTTTAAAATATATTTATATATTTCTTAATGTAGATTCTACCTATAAATAATGTTTTCGAAGAATTTCATATAAAACACGGCAAGTTTCAGGAATAATGCGAGAAATTATACAAGTTTGGGATTCTTGTTGAATATTCTAGACTTCTACAACTTTCGCCCGTAGCCAAAAATTTCAAAGTGAGTGATAACCGTTCTTTAGGACTTATACATTCCCTCATATTAATATTTTGACGTTGTATGTATGGTGTTATCATTTCCACAAGACGATCAAATAAATCATTTCGCATCCTAAAAAACTTTTCAAAACATATTATCTTTCAAATATATTATCTTCTCTTCTTAATTCTACTTGTGCAAGGTTAAGTATGCCTTGTAATTAAAAATTTCTCCGAAGAATCCATTTCGAGTCCAAATTGATCGACATCGATCAATTCGTTGTCGATTCGATGTTTAATTAATTCTTCTGTTTCTTTATTTTCTACAGCTTCGGCTATTAAAGCAATAGCTATCAATTTTTTTAATTTACACATTATATGAAAAAAATCTGAAAATTTGAACAAATAATTAGTAATTACTTTTAAACTCATTTTTACAAAATGGATATAAATTAATAATTTAATAAATTAAAAAAATATATTTATTTACATAAATAATATAAATATACACAATCGATACATAATCAAATCTTATCAAGTTCAATACTTTAATATTGGCATGCCTGACTACAGTTAATTTCATAAATTGAAATATATTGCCATTTGTAATTATTCGAGTCGAAAAAATTAGTAACAAAAACTCGATCCGAGTTCTCGGACCGAGTTCTAGCATCATGGACACAGACCTTAAAAGGCGTAACAACTTTTTGTTAAAAAACTTTTTTCTTCAAGAAATAAAAGCTATAACATAATAAAAGCTATAATTATCGAAAAGAATAAAAAACATTACATATTTGTTATTCAAATATATATAAAAATTTGTGTGTCAATATATATAGCATATATGGAACTTTCGTGCGCATGACTGTCCCCTTACTTCATACGCATGTATTTTTGTACATGCTTTTCGAAGTCATGTATTTGAGGCAAGTTAGCAGTCTAGTATATAAATATAAATGTCTATGATGTGTTGTAACAGGAAAAAGCACGTATAGCGACACTGTATTACACTGTGTCAACTGTGTCGCTTGCTGGAAAGCTCCCGTAAGCACCCTCAGGCTACGTTCAAATATTTACTGCCAGTACTGAAAACATAGTTTATATCACGTATATTATAGATTTTCAGTGCTGGCAGTAAATATCGGAATGCAGTTTCAGTTCGCTGCAATATGTCGCTGACAGATTTCCTAACCAAGAAAATGATCAACTTTAACGCTGGGGATGACGTGTAGCTCAGTGCTTAACGCGGTCGATAATCGATGGATAGCAAACCTGGCTCTCGCTCTCACATATTCACAATTTTTGAAAGTTTCTTGTGAAATTTAAAATTCTGGTTAAGAGGAAAGTGACCTCGCACGGTGCTTAAGTGTACAAAAAATTAAGAAAAAAAAGAGGATTAAAAGGGGTAATTGCAGAGTAATATGATAATAAACAATGGACCTGTGCTATAACTCGGTGGAGGAGTGAAGACACTATTTCTCCATCCGGAGATAATCTCACACACACACACACACACACACACACACACACACACACACACACACACACACACACACAACTAAC